GAATGAAGAATGCAGAAATGTGTGAAAAACTAAAGGGATTGCATGATACAATAGGAAGTAGAGGCACCCTGAACAACAATAACTTGAAGTAATGACTTCATCAGTAGCTCACATCATTGTGGAGCAATTTTGTCCCACTCTTCTTTACTATGTTGCTTCCATTCATTGAGGTTTGCAGTCATTCATTTATTCTTTCATTCAATCTGGTTAAGATTTGGACTTTGACTGGGCCATTGAGACATCTTAAATATTGTCTTTTTCACTTATTCTTTTGTATGATTTGCTGTTTTGAAATCAGTGTCCTTATGATGACCCGTGCTGTGTTCGATTTTCTGCAAATGTGGTGTGGTGTGTTCTGGCCAAATATCTCCACTTTGGTCTCATCAGTCCAAAGGACATTGCTCCATAAGTCCTGTGGTTTGGTCGAAGGCAGCTTTGCAAACTTAACCTGTGCTGCCATATTCTTTTTAAAGGAGAGGGTTCTCTTCTGGCAACGCTTCCAAACCTTCTAATGTTATTGTCATGAACTTTAACATTAACATGCTAACAGAGGCCTGTAGGGTCTATGATTTAGCTCTTGGGTTTTTTGCAGTTTTTCTGAGCATTGGACAAGCTGACCTTGAGTCAAGGCCGAATTTGCAGGGATTTCTACTCCTGGGCAGATTGCCAACTGTCTTGAATGTGTTCCACTCATGAATATTCTTTCTTACTGTAGCAACAATTGCTTCTCTAAGATCTTTACTGGTGTCTTTCCTCATTGGCATTGTGCTACCATACACCTGAATGCTACTGACCAAGCTAGCAAAACTTGTGCTTTTATAGAGCACAATCTGAGATTGTATTTCACTAATTACATGACCTTCTAAGGACTAGGTTATCTTTATTATGTCCTAACACATAAAACATTACAATTGAAAGTGGGGGTACTTTCTCATGTCTCTATACTTCAGAGAAATATTCAAATTTAAATGACAAGGCCAATTTTTCCTACTGATCTTTGATCATTTATTTTTATCTATTAATAGAGGTAAAGTTAAGTGAAGCTTTAGCTTTTTAAAACAAATTGAAGTTAATTTTAGTATGTTGCAGGAACTCATACTAAAGGAGGCTTTAGTAACCACAGCAGTTGCACTGCACTCATGTGATGATGTTTAGTATGCTAATATGCTAACATGTGATGATGTTTAGCATGCTAACATTGACTACTACATGGTGTTAGAACCAACACAAAGCATAGCTGAGGCTGATGGAACTAACATTTGCTTTCCAACTGCAAGACTTGGAAGTCGAGGCGTAAAACTCAAAAACAGCTTTATTGTAAGCCCTAACAAAACACAAAACAATAATACTTGATTAAAAACACAAAACACGGAGAGACACAAGTAAGAGGGACAACACAGCAAAGAACAAATGGAGAGTAAGACTATATGTAAACACCAGGTAATTAGGGAGATGGGAAACAGCGGGGAACATAGATGAACGGAATCTGACTAACACCACGAGGGAAGCAAAACTAAGAATTCATACAAGACAAGAGCCTATCAAAATAAAACAGGAAGTAACAAACACTGAGACAAGGACTAAGAAACCAAATAGGGACACGACTGGTTAGACAGAGAGGTAATGTTCCATAGCAGACGCAGAGGACAAGACACAGAGACAAAGCTGAGACACAAAACTAACATTATAACACAAGAAACTATGATAAAGGAATCTAGATAACAAACTCAGAGACACTTATGAAGAACTAACTAAAGAGTACAAAGTATAAACTTGAATCATCTTTTAATGCAGAAGAAATAATCACAAGATCGCAACAAAACTCAAAACATCCCAAAACTCAAAACGCTGGGTCAAAGACCCAGGACCATGATATTAAATGTATATAAAACTGTGGGGAAAGTGATTTACAAAGAGCAGGTTGAAAGTGAGCTAAGTGAGGTTAGTGATATCACATATAAATCTGTCAAAAGGAGGCCAGAACATTTCATTTTAATAGCTGATTTCTTTTTAAAGGTCAGTCCTGTGAATCCTGTCTGCGATGACTAATCTTTTGGGAGGTTTAAATCCTCTGCAATCATGCAATAATGCTTTAGTCATGTGTGTTAAACCACAACTATTTCCTTTGTAGACGAGTCACTTGGTTTCAAAAAGCCAAGTATGGGTGGTAAAGGTCAAATTCACTTGGTGCTCCGTCATGTTAACTTACTGGAAGTGACCTGAATACACTTTCCAGTTTTCTCCTCCCACTTGCCCATTTTTGCCTCAATGTATCATCTACTTTAAAAACAAAGTATTTCCATCTGCACTATGTTATTTCTGTAATACAAAGGAGTAACGTGGAGTACATATTATGATACGTACCATCTCAATATATTACCAACAACGATTAAAATTATGGGCATCAGCAACTATAGCTTGGTATGACCTCTGAGTTTAAGGGGAGATTGATGCATGATGACAAATCCAGCCAAGCTGTGCTTGTGAAAAGAAAAGAAAAGTGAACAAAGCAAAAAAGAAGAATCTGTTTAGTGGAATATGTCATATAATTATCCACTTTTCTATCAGGAAAAGATGGGGAAAATTGCCTTTATATACCACAAGTTTGTTAGATAGTAAGACAGAAAGTTGCATAAATACAGCTTAATTATGGAGCATTGTGTTTTCTTTTTATTTTCAACTTTCATTATCTGTGACTGTCATCTTTCCAAAGAACTCAGTCTCTTTAATTTGAAGACCAGCTCAGATTAATTGTGGTTGTTATTATTATAATAAACATAATTACTATGGTATAATTATTATTATAAGCTGTCAACATGATCAGCTTAAGGACTGATTACCTTCTTCACAAACATATTCCATATAAATATACACACGTATGTATGTATATATATATATATATACATTTAATTTGAAGATATATATATATATATATATATATATATATATATATCTTCAAATTAAATGTATATATATATATATATACATATTATATATATATATATATATATATATATATATATAGATATATAGATATATAGATATATATATAGATATAGATATAGATATAGATATATATAGATATATATATAGATATATATAGATATATATATATATATACATAAGAAGTCCAGTGAAAAAAGTCCCTTTTTGTTATTTTCTTTGTAATTTTCTTCAATGTAATATTTTTCTTCTTGTTGACAGAGAAAGTTTCTACCAACAAAGGATGATTTAAGGATGTTTTAAGAAGTAAGCTAAAGTGAATGTGCAGGTTTAGCAGGGTTTTATTAGGACAGGGGTGAATAAAGATATTGTTATTACCCACATTTTCCTAAACCTGCAAACCCGGGAAGTTCAACTCGCAACTTAAATATTTAGACTAAAGCAGATATCAAATGCTTTTTAAAAAAATATCTGAAACACTCTATTGCTCAGTTCTTTTTTTATACCCCCGTACACAAATTTACTGGTCAGCCAGAGAAGTTTTCAGTGCATTAGGAATAAGTCATATGTATGTTATGAAGATTGTTTACAGGTACAGAGAAAATGATTCATTGTGAATTAAATTAGTTACAGACATGCTATCCCTGCAATGACGTATCTGACTTACAAAAAGTGTGTTCTCTTGCATTTTCTTGCTTTTTCGGTTTTAAGCTTCTGTTGTGTGGTACATAAAAAGAAGTATAGGTATATTTACATGTATAGAGAACACGATTCATAGTGAATTAAATTAGTTACAGACATGCTATCCCTGCCTTACAAAAAGACGTTCTGCCATGACCTGAGAACTTAACTGAGAACCTAAACAGACAACCCAGAAAATATTTTAGTATTTTAGTATTTATTTATTTATTGTCATTGTCAAGAACAATGAAATTGCGTTTGGGGCTTCCATACAACCCAAAAAAAAAATAAAAATAGCTTGTCAACATGTAAACTAGCTATCAAAAAAGAAAACAAACACGGAAGCAATCAGATAAAACGGTCTATTTACCTCGACGGTACCCTGTAAAGGTTTGAAGTCCAAGATTTTAGTGGTTTTCCAGTCATCGGCAGATTCAAAGGTTTCAGTGTTCAAGGATCTTCCACACTGTTCCACTTAACTCTCATGCCGTCACTGGTTTTATTACTGATTCCATTCCTGATCACGGCTAGTGAACTCTCAATGAAGTGAAGCTCTGACTGAAGACAAATAATGGTAAAATGAAAAGAATGAACAGAATATACTCCCTTTCACACACGCAGATGAGTCACAGTAACACCAAGACAACATTCAAAATTCAAAATCATACCGATATACCGTTATTTGTTTCCATACTGCATCAAATTTTTTTCCAGCAGACATTTTACAACTCACAACTGTTTATCAGAAATATTAGAACAAGAGCTGATAGGATGACTCACTTATACTAAACAAGAAGAGTTCAAATAGCACTACATACACATTTTCTTTTAAACAGCTGTACTGCATGCACTCTGCACTGTGTCAGTCTGCCTACACATTTTCCAGTAACTCAAAGTTAAGATTAAAGTGTTACATTAACAACTGGCTTATACTAACATTGTTAATGATCATCTTAGGGGGGAAAAAAAATAAGAACATGTGTGTCTGAGTCAGAGTGATCTGTTTTCTTATTGATATTTAATGGGTATTTCCTTTTTAATCAGTGCATGTTAAGAAGTTGACCTACAAGGGTCAGGCTTACGTTTAAGATGTATCGTGGGGGGGATAGAGGAGGAGAACAGACCGAGGCAAGACTGAAGTGCAGGGCAGACTATTTAAATGTTGGAAACCTGCAAAGAAGCCAGTTAGAGGAGCACATTTCAAGAAATCCAGGTAAGAGATTAGATTTTTTTTTCCCCACAGTAAATGCAAAAAATATCCAGAGGAAGACGTTATTAAGGTTATACTTTTTTTTTTTTGCATGTTTTTATTATGTCTTTGTTTATATGGCTTTTTTCTTTTTGTCTATTTAATGAATTCGTTTTTCCTTTTTAGGATGCGTAACATTCTGGCCCTTCTCTGCGTCTTTCTTATGGCAGCTCATCAGAGCACTAGTCTTCTCACAAAGGGAGAATCCATCAGAAACACCATACACAACATTGTAAACATTGCTCAGATAACCCTTGTCCACATTAAGAAACTAAAGGTACCAATATATTGATTATTTTTATGTTAATGCGATTTGCTGTTTATTTTCATTGCGTATACTGTTTTCTGCCTAAATTTTCTCATTGAGGAATGTTTTTATTCAATATTAAACTAAGCTTATGTATTATTTTTTTTATTCTTAGTTGCTGGCTTCACCGATAGGTGTTCCCCCTCCTTCCATTCTAGGACTAAGTAATATAAGCCATGAGCTTGGAGTTTTGGATATTGAACTGCAGCAGCACCCTTTCCTCATCCAGATTCAGGCTGATGTCTCCAGCTTGGAAGGAAGGGTGCGCTCCCTCGCCTTCTCAATGGAGTGTCCCCTTAAGCCCAAACCAGCAGTACAGATGAATGAGAGTGTGTTCCCAGAAAGCCACCTTTACATGACAGTGACAAAGGTGCAGCACTACCTAGAGGAACTTCTTCTCAACAAGGGCAAACTCAAGCTCTGCTAACAAATTTAAGCTTGATGCATATATAGTAAGCCAGGACTTGACCCAGTGTAGGCAAAGGTTAATTTGTCTTTGTGATGCATATTTTCTATACATATAATTACTACGTGGACAACTGTCAGTCGTTAAAAGCATGCAATTAATTCCAATAATTCAGCGATTTGTAATATAATGAAAAAAACTATAAAGGGCATCTTTTATTTCATACAACAAATGTTTTATAGGGTTTTACAGATAGATTAAAATACTCATATATTTTTTAACAAAATACATTTTTTAATACTTTATGGCAAACTGTTTTACACACGTTTGACATGGTGTGTGTTTTGAGGGTCAGGATGGGAAAAATGAGACACTACATAGTACTTGGAGGTTGTGTGAATAAGCATGATTGTGGTCATTTCTGCCAGTAAATAAAACTAATGCAAAGAATTGCATGGTGCTATGAAACTATTGCCAGAGAAAGCATATAAGACCTTTTGATGACTGTGCAATCTTAACTGTTTTTTAGTGGATGCTTGTCTCAGTGGTCTATTGAGCAGAACCATTAAGCGAAAGGTTATTAGGTTGTGTTTAAAAATGAAATGTGTTATTTTTTTGTAATAAAGTTTGCAATAACAAATTCTGTCATGACTGATGCTTTATTTAAAATTTAAAAGATTTAAGTCATGCATTTAAGACTTTTTTCACTTGTGTTACTTTGATAAAAAATCTTTATTAAAATATTATGTATGACATAAAATACAGCTAAACTTAATGGTACAATGATACAGTTTTATAAAATAAAACAAGCCAATAGATATAATAAATTTAAATTTCATATATAATAATCTACAATAATGGCATTAATGTATATCATATGCTGGGAGCAGCATTTTAACCAGCATAAAGAATTAAGTTTGTTTTTTATTATAAAATGTAGTTTTCAGCTATCATGGCTTTATTTTATTTTATTTTATCACATCAAGCTGACTACTCAGATGATAATAATATATTTACAAAAAAACAACAACAACAACAATCCTTTGCTTAAACTTTAAAGAAAAAATTATTATTCTTATATAAGAATTTCTACTAAATTGAATTTAAAAAACAAAACAGATATCATTAGGCAATAATTAGTTCACAATTACCCATATTTCAATCTAATGATTCACTTTCTTCATGAGACACATTCCAATCTAAACACCAAACGGCACAAAAACAGAAACTAACTTACTCATTACTGATTACCCGTGAACTACAAAAGAGCAAGAAGACACTTTAATAACATGCAGCTGTTCAGCAATGAGGAACTACAGAGCAGCCTCTTAGTACGACTGTCTGAAGTGTGTGAGTTGAAGTCAGCAGGACTTCTTTTAGGCTTTTGAAGATTTTTTACTTCTCATCCAAAAGCCACTTTCGAAGAAACAAACAGAAAAACAAAATCTAACCCTCTAATTTTACGGCCATTAAACAACACTAAGCAGAGTATGCTACACGTTTTGAAAATGTTAAAAACTCTGTACCTTATAAGGGAAATGTAACACAAGTCACCACAAATCGATGATGAATAATCACAGCACGAGTGCATGTGTGTGTGAAACGCTAACATAAAAAAGTAAACAGAGTTGAAATTCAAGAACCTTGATAAGGTTTTACAAGGTAAATCAACAGTAAATTCTTACAGATCCACTCTTTTACATTCTAAGAATAAGAATAAGAAGACCTTTATTTATCCCGAGGGAAATTCTTTTGTCACGTACATGCTCAAAGCAGCAGGAGTACGGAAGAGGATTAGGGCCACTGGAAAAAAAAAAAAGAATTCTGACTTTAATCTCAGAATTCTGACTTTAATCTCAGAATTCTGACTTTTTTCTCAGAATTCTGACTTTATTCTCAGAATTCTGACTTTTTTCTCAGAATTCTGACTTTATTCTCAGAATTCTGAGATTAAAGTCAGAATTCTGAGATTAAAGTCAGAATTCTGACTTTAATCTCAGAATTCTGACTTTTTTCTCAGAATTCTGACTTTAATCTCAGAATTTTGAGGTGGGCACCTGCAGGCTTCCAGCTTCGGTGACAGCGATGTGTCCAGTTTGGCAGGTGGAGAACTAATTCACTAAATATGGTGGATATAAGTGACTTTTTGCGTGGCCGAGGGGTCCCCGAAGATGCTATTTTATTAATGGAAGAGCAGAAGGTGAGTAACAAAAAAGAGAAATAGTTTGGTGTCTCCTATTTTTACAGGAAAACAGTTACGGTTAGCTGTTAGCATGCTTGTTAGCTTATAATGTTATATAGGAATGAACGTGTTTCACGATGTTACAGTATACTAGGTGAATTGACGTTTTAACTGTTGTTGATCGCAGGATCATCCCAGATGGGTTCGTTGCATTTTATTTTATTGTTCTACTATTTCAGAGTTTTTCAAGGCAGTTAAGCGGAGCTGTGTTACAGATGCTAGCCGCCTGCCAATATCACTGATATATTTGATGTGTACAAGTAAGTTACACTTAGTACAGCGGAGGAGAGAAGCTGTAATGAATGTTTATGCGGATATTTCACTCAGAAAAATGGGTGGCGTTCATACACAGCCACCGACACAGCCCCGGTTGTTGTTCTGACGGTGGCCGACTGACGATCCCCTCACAACATGTTAGCTAACACAAACTAATGTAGTGCATGTAACTGTGTATACGTTAGTGGTACAGTGTCGGAAGAAATGAGCAAACTGTTTATAATGTCAGAATGACATCATCTTTCTCCTATATATAAAAGTGCTGGCTGAGGAGCGCTGCCGGGTTGAACTTTGACCTCGGAGTGACGTGACGTTTGTTCGCACAACCAATAGAAGTGCAGAAAGTCGCAAATCAGGCATATTGTTCGCATAAACACAAAAATAAATAACGAAATAATCCCGATATTGTGCCAAAGACTGATTTACAATGTTACTTTGTGTTCTATGTGTAATACCTTTGCTTAAATGACTAAATGGACTGTGTATTTATGACTCTGCGTTATAGTCTTACATACATAAGTAACATTCATATGTACAGATAAAAATGTACAGAGCTATGTACACAAGCGTGTACACAAAAGTCTACTGCTGATCGAGCTGCTCAGTGGTCGTACAGTCTCATGCAGAGAGCGTGGAGGTGTTGTCCATGGTGGATGTTAGCTTAGACAACATCCTCTCCTCCCCAGTCTGCTCAGTGGACTTTAGCAGACCGCTAAAGCTGGCCCTCCCGACCAGTTTGTTAAGTTTCCCCCTGTCCCTCTCTGCCATTCCACCACTCCAGCAGACCACAACATAAAAGACAGCAGACGCCACCACAGTGTCGTAGAACATCCTTAGAAGACGTACTACCTACATCATAACCAATCAAGTCCCGCTTTTTTTTAAATACAGAAGAGGATTTATTATTTACTGAAAGGCTATGCCTTAGTTTGCTTCTTTCATTATTGTGTTTCGCCCTGCATAAAATAGATAGCTTTTCTGATAACTACAGTCAATACTCTCCTACTGGCATTAACGAGGCCTAAGAGGCTTAACTGTAATATTGCTTTGCAGCGTAAATGTTGCATAAAATGACTGTCTTTTCTTTCTTCCTGTGTGCAGATTGACTGTGACGTCATAGCGCTGATGGATGACGCAACTTTGGCAAACTACATTCCCTCGTACGGAGACCGAATTGCCGTCTTCAATTTCTGCAAAAGCAAGCAACCACTGTCAAAAAGAAAACTAGGACTTCTGCAAAAACTTCGTGAGAAAATGAAAACCAGAAAAGAAAGTCCAAAGGAGAACACTTCACATACAGATGCAGGAATAAGACAGACAAAGAAGCAAAAAGCAACACGCAATGTTGAGATAGGATGGATACATTGTGATGGAAAAATAGCCAAACAGGTGAGAGCGAAGCAGGGAGGTGGCACTAGAAAAATTCAAATGGCCACTGATGCTGGATTAAAAGATATTCTTCAGGAAGGAAAGAAACTTTTTTTTCCTAATGGCATATCTCCTAAGGGATGTGAAACAGATTTTGAGTTTGAGGTTTGGGACTTTAAACAGAACCACCTTACTGATGATACCTGCCAGTCTATTGGCAATATGTATGAGGCAGCGAGACTGACAATGTTACGCTTCTACATTGCAACAAAACCAAAAGATCCTGAAGAAGATGCCAGCGAGACATCTGAAGTGGTGTTTGTCTCAGAAAGCAGTGGCAGTGATATTAATCCATTGCAAGTGGGGGAAGTCAGGGGTAATTTTGATGAAGTCATCGCTGGTTCAGAAATTTTAGATGATCCAGAAATTACTTTTGGTCCAATTTTTGATGCTGAAGAAGATACAGAAGACACATTAGTCTATGAGGGTTTTCTTGTACCCCTCAGTCCACCTAATTCAGAGAACATAATAACAATCACCATACGTCATACTGACACTTTACATGACATGATTACTGCTTTACTTCCAGACAACACAGAAGAACCAGGCACTGGATCAGGAATACTAAGAGATGTACTCACATGCTTCTGGCATGAATTTATGAGCGATGCACCCTAGGTGCAACCATTAAAGTGCCATTCATTCGCCATGATTTTCCTGCTGAAAAATGGAAGGCAGTTGGGCGAATACTCCTGAAAGGTTACCAAGAATGTCAGTATTTTCCAAATAAACTTGCAATCCCTTTTATGGAACAAGTGCTTTTCAGTGGTGTTTACAGTGATCTTAAAGCACACTTTCTACAGTTTGTCAGCAGCCAAGAATGTGATGTTTTGATGGAAGCAGTAAAAGATTTCTCTGCAGTTGACTTGGATGATCTTGTGGAAATTCTTGACAGTTATGGCTGTAGAAAAAGAATCACTGCTGAGACTCTTCCTACAATCCTTGATGAAATAGCACACAAAGAGCTTGTCCAAAAACCAATGTTTGTTATTGACTGCTGGCGGGAGATCATCGACCCCCATATCTCCCTCAGTCCGGAGGGACTGACCAAGTTATTCTCTGAACTGCAACCAACTTCAAAAAAAGTGTGCCAGCTGCTGAAATTTGCTGTGGATTTGACTCCACAACAAAAAGAAGTGAAAAATCATCTCAAAAGATTCATCAGAGAGCTGGATAACATTAAACTTCAGAAATTTATGCGTTTCTGCACCGGATCTGACCTTATAGTAACAAACAGTATTTATGTGGAATTTCAAGATATGACAGAGTTTACAAGAAGACCAGTCGGACGCACGTGTGGGAATGTTCTGCAGCTAGCTAACAGCTATGAAAACTTCCCAGATTTTCGTTCTGAATTTAATGCAGTTCTTGAAAGTAATGTCTGGGTGATGGACATTGTTTAGACTCTCACAGCAATGCGCTACATTTGAACTGCTCATGCACACTAGAGCATAACTGTAAAGAGATGTTAGGAATATGTATTTTTATGTATTTTGAACTTATACAGTATACTTTTTTAATTAGAGAGAAGTTTCTCATCTCTGTTAGAAGTCTAGTTTTGGCTAATATTTCATTTTCTTTTATCATTTTGAGTTTTACATAATACAGTCACAAAACAAAAGGAACAGGTACACTGTTTACTACCATATCCAGAGCTGTCTTCACCAAATCCAAGCTTTCCAGCTGTAAGACAGAAACCTTCAGCAAAAGCATGAAGAAAGATTACTTAAGATCTATAAACTATAATTAAACTGCTCTTAAACGTTCTTTAATGCACCATGTGTGGTGTGAGAGCTCAGCACAGTCAAATACTTTTGTAAGTAATTAGTAGAAAGACTAATTCATTCAGATGGTATTTTCTTATTAGGTCAGGGCTAAAACTGAACATAGTTATAACGTAAAAGTAATGCTGTTATGCAACACTGTATTGTAAAAGGAATAAGTACAATTTTATACTTTAGCATTTGTCATGTCTGAAAACATTTTGCTTTACAGTATATGCAATTTTTAGTTAAGGTAGGTTAAGGTATCAAAGTTTGGCATTTGTTGTTGATTACAAAGGTTCCATATAAAGTTGGTGAAAATATTTTTTTAAATTCCAGTATTTTCTTAATGTCATATTGTTTCTAAGCATACCTGTTATTCATCCATCAAATTGATTCAAGCTGCTTAAAGGATTCAGTCTGTTTTGAAGATGGTTATTGATTACTGAGATCATAAATAAACACTGTACACTTCAGTGCAGTGGTCAAGTACTGTGATTATTCAGGCATCCTTTTGTAATGCCAAACTGTCATGTTCTCAGATATAGTATTAATCTTAACACCTGAAAAATGTCTTGTTACTGCCAGAAATTATGCATTTTTATTTGTATGCATGTATGTTCTCAGTCATTCACACTTGTTTTTATTTCTATACCATAGATGACACTGAAGGAATATGTGATACCACAATAGCCAGTGTTCATGGTCTTTACAGTAAGTCACTGATGTATACTGATGCATAACAAGACTATATGAGATCTATAAGTTTGTTTTAAAAGTTGAGTCATTCTTGTTACAGGGCAGCTTATACGGTTATGAGTTTTAGCCATGTTATTGGCATTGGAAAGAACAGGTTTCTTGTAAACTTTTTCCAATAAAATGTTACTGTACACAGTACATTTGTATTGTTGTTTTGAATATGTTCATCAAACTCCATATCTATTTGAACATGCCAGAATTCAAGAGACTGCCACACATGAGCTCAGTAACATGGAAGAATACCATTTATTTTTAATTTCAAATATTTCATAAAGATACACAAATATAAATGTAAAACATGTTGCACTTAATGGGACAATAACTTGGTTCCACTTGCAGGAACTGTTTTGTTGCATTGTTGCTGGGATACTACAAATAAAAGTCAAAATATTTTTGGTATGTTTCTTATAATTTTAGGATTCATATCATGAAGGAGCCTTGTATACAACAGCTAACACTGAATCAGTATAGCAATGATTCGTGGTCATTTTACATGAAAAACCAGCTAAAATATCTTACAACTAACAGAAGTGAAATACATTAATAATTAAGTGATGGATCTTCATATGGGTAAATGATTATTATAGCTTTGCTTTAATATAATTGCACTAAAAGCTCCCCAAAAGGCATAACGACTTTAAATATTAACAATGATACGTTTATAGAAACATGCTGTTGTCAAGACCTAGAATTGTTAATGCTACTATGGTTTGCTGAAACATACCACAGATAACCACATATGATATGCACTTAGCATATCATATGCTGGTGCCTGGGTTTCCAGCCATGAATATTAAGAGTAAAGGTTGATACAGAAAACAATGAGCAGGGAGCTGGTCAGTTTATATTTTATATACTATGCACATGTCTGGCAACAAAACACAGAAATTTATATTGCAATTTACTGGTAGGCAGGTTTACACCACTTATGATTCAATCAAAAATATAACATTTGTAAATGCAGTTTAATGTATGGCCTTTTAAAAGGATTGACATGTGTTTCATAACTGATTGATAATATCACAATATTCAGCTTTTTCAAGTAATATATAAACATTTCTGTTTAATGGTAGTGTGAATGTAGAAAAACATTTTTCATTTAATGCAGTGCAGAAATACCTGCATAAAAGGTACCTGTAAGACATGGCACCTACTATCAAATCACGTTATCAAGATAAAGAGAAATATTTTGTATTTATTTGTACATTTACACACTGAAGTTCCTTAAATACTTTGCAGTATTTCTTCTCTTAACCTAATGTACAGATCCGCAGCACCAAGTGGATCTCCTGGGGCATCCCATTCATTTTCTACCATAAGCAGACAACACAGTTCAAAGACTGTTTCATCACAGGGGTGTTGACCTTTTGGGCTACACTCTTCCATACACAAAGTGATATCCTCCATAGAAATAGGCTTCAGTCTATCCTCAGCACTGTGCAGCTCTGGAAATGAGTACATTACTACTGGTCGACCCGATGCTGCACTACCACTTGGCCGGATTTTGTGCGAGTTCCATGTGTTCACAACTTCATCAAGTTCATCCTACATGAAAAACAACACAATATAAGTACCGGTATATGAAACAGACCATGTACCAGTAGATTTAGCCAAAGTTGAGGCTTATTAACTCATTAATCAACAGACATAGAAACTGACCTCTAATTAATGTAAAACCAAGCAGCAACAACAAAAGAGCACTTTCACTAAACAGCACATGGACACAGAATGGTGCTGCATGATTCTGCTGTTGAATAGATAGCCCAACACTTTATACTCAGTGTGCAATGATTCTACAATAAATTTTCAATAGAGAATTAACCAAATGATAGGATTGCTTTCTGAAACCGTGCCCAAAGGACCACTAGGTAACAGACTCCATAGTAATTTAAACCATGTGGCAATAAATAAAAAAAATGCTCCATGCACCTGTGCTGAGAAAGGTGCAGTTACTTCCACTGATAACATGAATACAATTCCATCAAAGTATTAAAATGGAATCCCAAAAAGTTGATTCTGTTCATCTGGATGTAGCGTTTTCAGTGTGAGAAATGTTCTGTCAAAAAACATTCCTTACCTGGCTGATTGAGCATGCATCAAGACATATTAAAATGGAAATAAAATTCATATTTAATTTAAAGAAAAAAAATGTTCTAACCATATTTATATTTTCTATTTATGCAGCTAAGACATTACATAGCATGAGCACATGCTTTTACCTGAATAAGATTGAGAAAGCAGAATTGGATAAGACTTTTGTCCAAAAATCCCCTGTGAAGTGGCCATCATCCTGAAAAGTTTGAAATAAGTTCATCCAAAATTGTGCACTCTGTTTGCGTAGGGTAGCCCACCATCCTTCTATACGTTGGTTGGCCGTACTTCTTCCGTAAAGGAAACTTTTCTCACCTGCAAAACTGTCTGTGTGGTTTCTCCGTAAAAACATCTGCATTTGTTCGACACAACCATTTTCGGTACCTCGGTCAGCACGTAACCTTTCTGGACATCCGCTGATGCATGAAACTGTTTTCAGAAAATAACTTGCAATCAATTTAGGGTCACTGTCTGTAGTATAAGCCTCCATCCATAAAACATAGCGGCTAAAACCATCTATGCAGCCACTGATAGCAATACCATATGGTTTCAACTTGTCATAGCCATCCATGTGCCAGAGAGCATTTGGCCCTCTGCAGCTGTACTGTCGTCTTCTCAACCGTCGAGCTCGTCTCAGTTCCACACCTTGAGGGTCAAGCAATTTGATTATGCATCTTACAGTATCTTGTGACACCACAAATCCATGTTGAATTGCACGTAGATGTAGCCAACGATAACCTTGCATCTGTCCATTTGTCATGATCTCTTGTTGGACAAAGGCTAGCACTCCTCCAAGTTTGATTGATTCTTCCTTCTAAAAAGCCCAAGTCTTTTACAAATTCTCTTTAGAGTTCGAACACTTATAATTGTCTGATGACTATGTGCTAAAATTGAAAGTATTTCTTTGTTACTGAAAGAAAGTCTGAAATACAGTCTTATTAAGTCATCCAATCTGACATGTCAGCCACTGTTTCTCTCACTTTGAGAGGTGAACTTTTTGCAGAAGTCCTAGTTTTCTTTTTGACAGTGGTTGCTTGCTTTTGCAGAAATTGAAGACGGCAATTCGGTCTCCGTACGAGGGAATGTAGTTTGCCAAAGTTGCGTCATCCATCAGCGCTATGACGTCACAGTCAATCTGCACACAGGAAGAAAGAAAAGACAGTCATTTTCTGCAACATTTACGCTGCAAAGCAATATTAAAGTTAAGCCTCTTAGGTCACCGCTAATGCCAGTAGGAGAGTATTGACTGTAGTTATCAGAAAAGCTATCTATTTTATGCAGGGCAAAACACAATAATGAAAGAAGCAAACTAAGGCATAGCCTTTCAGTAAATAATAAATCCTCTTCTGTATTTAAAAAAAAGCGGGACTTGATTGGTTATGATGTAGGTAGTACGTCTTCTAAGGATGTTCTACGACACTGTGGTGGCGTCTGCTGTCTTTTATGTTGTGGTCTGCTGGAGTGGTGGAATGGCAGAGAGGGACAGGGGGAAACTTAACAAACTGGTCGGGAGGGCCAGCTTTAGCGGTCTGCTAAAGTCCACTGAGCAGACTGGGGAGGAGAGGATGTTGTCTAAGCTAACATCCACCATGGACAACACCTCCACGCTCTCTGCATGAGACTGTACGACCACTGAGCAGCTCGATCAGCAGTAGACTTTTGTGTACACGCTTGTGTACATAGCTCTGTACATTTTTATCTGTACATATGAATGTTACTTATGTATGTAAGACTATAACGCAGAGTCATAAATACACAGTCCATTTAGTCATTTAAGCAAAGGTATTACACATAGAACACAAAGTAACATTGTAAATCAGTCTTTGGCACAATATCGGGATTATTTCGTTATTTATTTTTGTGTTTATGCGAACAATATGCCTGATTTGCGACTTTCTGCACTTCTATTGGTTGTGCGAACAAACGTCACGTCACTCCGAGGTCAAAGTTCAACCCGGCAGCGCTCCTCAGCCAGCACTTTTATATATAGGAGAAAGATGATGTCATTCTGACATTATAAACAGTTTGCTCATTTCTTCCGACACTGTACCACTAACGTATACACAGTTACATGCACTACATTAGTTTGTGTTAGCTAACATGTTGTGAGGGGATCGTCAGTCGGCCACCGTCAGAACAACAACCGGGGCTGTGTCGGTGGCTGTGTATGAACGCCACCCATTTTTCTGAGTGAAATATCCGCATAAACATTCATTACAGCTTCTCTCCTCCGCTGTACTAAGTGTAACTTACTTGTACACATCAAATATATCAGTGATATTGGCAGGCGGCTAGCATCTGTAACACAGCTCCGCTTAACTGCCTTGAAAAACTCTGAAATAGTAGAACAATAAAATAAAATGCAACGAACCCATCTGGGATGATCCTGCGATCAACAACAGTTAAAACGTCAATTCACCTAGTATACTGTAACATCGTGAAACACGTTCATTCCTATATAACATTATAAGCTAACAAGCATGCTAACAGCTAACCGTAACTGTTTTCCTGTAAAAATAGGAGACACCAAACTATTTCTCTTTTTGTTACTCACCTTCTGCTCTTCCATTAATAAATAGCATCTTCGGGGACCCCTCGGCCACGCAAAAAGTCACTTATATCCACCATATTTAGTGAATTAGTTCTCCACCTGCCAAACTGGACACATCGCTGTCACCGAAGCTGGAAGCCTGCAGGTGCCCACCTCAAAATTCTGAGATTAAGTCAGAATTCTGAGAAAAAGTCAGAATTCTGAGATTAAAGTCAGAATTCTGAGAAAAAAGTCAGAATTCTGAGAATAAAGTCAGAATTCTGAGAAAAAAGTCAGAATTCTGACTTTATTCTCAGAATTCTGAGATTAAAGTCAGAATTCTGAGAAAAAAGTCAGAATTCTGAGAATAAAGTCAGAATTCTGAGATTAAAGTCAGAATTCTTTTTTTTTTTTTTCCTGTGGCCCTAATCCTCTTCCGTACAGGAGAGACAGAGGAACAGATGAATAAGATATACAATATATACAATAAGAATAGTAGTATACAGTAATATACAGTAGGGAGTCAGTTCTTCATACTACTCAGACATGCAATAAAAAATTACTACATACCTAAAGGGACTAAACACACAAGAGGTGGTGCTTGTAAGCACTTTATGGTAAGTCTGCTTTTTGTGTATTCCAGCTGAGTTCCATGAGATTCCAAAGAAAGTCTAACGATAACACTATAGGATTAAGTTTTTTTTTTAAATATAGACTTATTGGTGTTCCTTGCCTTTACAGTTATCTACACTTGGCCTTCCTCTGAAAGACGAATGACTGCCAGAAATATCTGTGTGATATGGAGCTGTTTGAGAGCAGTTTGAAAGCATGTTTATTCTATTAACTTATTTATTAAATTTCCATTGATTACTTAGTAAAATTCTCTTTTTTGAATCATACATTAGCCCGTGCTAACAGAGCGTTTAATTGTTATTTCCTGGCGTGAGAGAAGCTTCTGTAATTAGAGAGGAAATGCAGGGTTATTTTTGTGTTAGATAACAGTGGCAGGGAGGAAACAGTGGGTTACTACTAACAGCTGTACTGAAAAGACGTATATACTTCTGTGGACCTGTTTTTTAGTGCTTAGAATTATTAGGCATTCTTAACATTACATTGAAGTTTCTTAGTTATCTGGTCTAATGTGCCTTTGCTACACAACAATGGCAACAACTGTAAGCTGTTAAGATCATACTACAATAAGAGTGAATAACAGTATGGCTTTTTATCACAGAACATCTGGGATGATGTAGAACATAGTTTTATGAACAATGCCACGAAATAATCAATAATCAAGCACTTCTGGTTCACTTCTTGTGAGAGTGGTCCTAATATATATGAACAACTCTGAGTAACTGCAGTACATATCATTCCTCAAATGTAACTCACACAGAAGTGGATGAAGAGACCTCAAAACACCATCATAAGCTCCTTTTCACACAGAGAGGGTTGCAGACTGAAATTTTTAAAAAGAAATTCAACTAAAAATATTAAAGTTTTCAAAATGTTTATCTTTGTGTTTTCCTAAAATAAACAGCAAGGGTTGAAAACAGACATACCGACTTCAAAGATGGTTGGAAAGAAGTTAAATGACATAGGTTTTATGGAGTTTATGTTTTACTTACCAAGAGTGATTGTGCTTTCATAACATGAGTTCATGTGAATGTTTGAATTACACTGAAAATAAAACAGAAAAGACTAGAAAACAGGTCTAATTCTAAGCAAACGTTATTGTAAGTCCAAATTGCTAAAATAGATTAAAAGATATGGTTGGAATAAACATGTGTAGATAAGCTAAACTAGCTAAGATGATATGCTTGGGGTAAGAAAAATATTTTTGCTTTAGCACATATATTTTCAGCATTTCTTTAGTATTAGATTTAACTTTGCTACCCTCCTTTAGTTAAAGACTAACAGTAAGCCTTTGGTTGCACTTATACACACATTATAAACCCATTTATATATTGTATTTTTTTCAACTTGGAATAAATTTCCCACTAACTTCCAGGTCCACCCATTCACATTCAAAGAAAACTATCCTTTTTCCACATTATGAAGTACCCGATTTCATCATTAAAAGGAAAAATTTGGAAAAGAAATATCAGATAGACTAAATATCATAATAATAATAATAAAATAAACAAATATATATGTGTATAAAAATAATTAAAATGACTTAAATGATAAACCAGTTACAAGACTTCCAAGTAATTATTTTTTTGGCCTTTTTTAAGTTTATTAGATGGACACAGTATAGACAACAGGGAGGTGGGGGCAGAGAGAGAGGAGAAGGCATGCGGCAAAGGGCTGCGGGTGCTACTCAAACCCAGGCCGGCCGTTCTCAGCCGTATGGCATGTGGTCGCTCGCTCAACGCACTGAGCTAAACCAGCGCCGACTTTCAAGAAGTTCTTAGTAGAAGTGAGACCATGTTGGCAATTTTTTATATGGAAAAAACTCACAAGTAAAAGTCCTGTTCCAAGCAGCGCAATTGAAATATTTTATTTCACTCAATGTGCAGCAACCACATCTCTGGTAAGAGTACCAACAGTTTATCAAAGCTTTTGAATTGTTTAAAGTGCAAAATAATCCATAACATAAGCACACAGGTAAATAACATCAGTTTTTTTAAAATAACTTAAAATACAACTTTACTTAACAGCAAGCAACAAAAATTCAAACAATGAATATGCAAAAGAGTGTTACGGCCCTGGGCCTTGGAGGAAGTGAGACTGCCCTTTTGTTTATGCAAATCTAAGTGTGCCAGGACTCGTGGATGACTGGCTGCTGGGAGTCCTGTGCCAGCCTTCTTTTATGCAGATCAAAGTGTGCCAGACTGCGTGGACGATTGGCTGCCTGGAGATCCAATGACACTCCAAGACCAACTGACTGGCTGATTGTCTGCACCTGGGAGTATAAAAACGCTGAAGATTCACACTGAGGGAACTGCTGTGCTGACGTGAACATGCAGTGTCCTCCTCGTCTGCCTAGCATTTGAACTCCGTTTGTAAACTCTGAGATACAGCTGACCTTAGTTTTGTTAGAGTCTTGTGTTTGCTGGCTCAGCTTAGTTAACCCTTAGTTTTTATTCTTGCCTGTTCTTTTCTTTGTGTATTAATTATTTGCCCGGTGGTCTGTTGAACAGCCCCGTCGGTTTTTAGTTTAACGTTTGCAATAAAACCCCTTATTTACTCTGACTTCGTGAGTGGGCTTGTGTATGTTTCTCCCCACCTGTCGCCTAGCAGAGGGGGTCGTAACAAAGAGAGAAAAAATACTTCTCATTTTAATTAATAACAAAGCTAAAGGAAAAAAAATCAAAGTGCATTCTTTTTTAAATCATAAAACTTATTTTGTTTTTTAATATTTGGTGGTGGTGTATTTTTACCTCCCCTCTTAGATTGTTTTTTTACAGGAGGAAATGGGCAGCGAGTTCAAAAAGTGTTGCAGGGTGGAGAGGTAATCATCTGGGTGGCAGCGCAAGTGGGCCGCATGTATCGACTTCTTCCACTTTCTGCTGTGCACGTCCACTCCTCTCTGTCTCCAGACGTCAATCAGCTTTTCCATCACTGCAGTGTTGCACATTGCATCGTTTTCACTGAAGAAGAAGAGAGCGGGAGCGGTAACTGGGCTGTTGTGGAACACTTGGATGCTGGTCTCATAGAAGTCTGCCGTGTGGGTTTTGAAAAGCCAGAAGTAAAGCATGGCAGTGTTTTTGACAAAGCTCTCAAAACGTGGCACCAGAGTTCTACCAATGCCTGAATAAAAAATGTAAAAAAAAAAAAACAAATTTAAAAAAAAAACACAAGAGAGTAAATAGTTTAGAGTTTTAAAGCTTTACTCTTATGTAGGCCGTGTATCAAAAATAACCTAGACCTATATAGCTAAGTCCTAAAATGGCCAGCTGTAGGGCAAAATCAAATATTATTACCTCCTTTTTAGTGCTTTTGTTGTGTTGATGATCCAATCCAATACCTGACAAGCAATGTCATGGCTTACCCTGTAGTCAAACACACCAACAAGTCTGTGCTCCAGTTCTTCTGATTGCAATTCTAGCCTTTTTCTTTGTAACCTAACGTAACTCTAATTACCAGGTGCTTTGCGTCCATGTTGTCAGAAGTTTACATGCATCATGGGCATGAATTTGATGGAAATTTTGCACTTCTAACAGACTTTTGATTTCTTCAAAATGTTCTTTTTCCTCTTTGGAATCTTTAAGGACTTCAAAAAACAAAAGAAAAGAATTGGGTGCACATGTTTGAATTTATTTTAATTTAAATAAATGAGGTTTTAGATGGTAGTACAGTAACTACACAGTGTGAATGCCAGTTAATTTTTTTTAGAAAACTAGACAGAACTAGCGGCTTAGATAGAACCTGATAAAAATCCCAAATGTTAAATGGATAAACTGCTTGCAGACACAGCCCTAAAGCCAATTAAAACAAGCAGCTAGAGAGAACTCCTGACAAACTGGAGCAGTGGGTCGATCGGCTAATAAATTATGTAAAGATCTGACACACGTATCCAACACAAAAGTGAACTGCAACCGAATATACTAGATCACTCTCACTCACCTATCGCCATGTGGTCCAGTGTGCCGACCACTAAGCTGTCATAGATGTGTCCCATCATCCTCTGTGCCAGGCTTCCATGTTTTTTTGGTTCTTGGACAATGTGGGTGAGGATTTGAGTGAAAGTGTAGCCACCGATGGAAGAAGCATGAACCAGCATCACCCTCCCTGCGAAGGGAGGGTTCTCCAGAATTTTCAGAACCTCCAATCCATACTCAAGCCCCCATCGAGGCCACAGGAAATGCATCACACTGCTCTGAACCAGGAGGACATCCATGCCACGGTCCAGATAAAGGTCCCGGTACTTAGCCATTCCCCCTGGTTGGGCTCCAAGCCAGGAGAAGAAAACCAGAAGTGGACGAGAAGTGGACGAAGAATATGATTGTTTTTGGTAGGAGACAGATGTGTTTGACGGTGAATCTGAGAGGAGTGTAGAGGAGGCTTCTGCAGATGGTGAAACAGGGAACGTGGGGCAAAGAGCTGCAGAATCTTGAAAATTTTTGGCAAGACATTCTGTTTCGCAACCTGTACCAGTGAGTGGAGTGTAATAATAGGTTATGCCATTGCAGATCGTTTTGGCTATTAAATGTCGTCTGTTAACTTTATCCGACTTGGTTGCATCAGTCCTTATGAGGCTGAAAAAGAGGCCAGATTGAAACATGAATACTTTCCACAGTTCACCAGAGAAACATCACAGAACAACAGACTATAACATTCACTTGGCTAAGGATTTGCAAACATATCCTCAGAGGACCCAGAGAACTCAAAGACTGATTATTGTCATTATCTGTTGTGACTGTCACCACAAACAGTAATTCATGGAGAATTCTTTGAGGTTAAATTAACTTTAATTCCCATCGTAGGACTGAAATTATGGACAAACAAAATGACTATAATAAAGTCATCAGTATGGTTTTAAAGGAAGGAAGTTTATTTATTGTGCCAGATGGCCATTTGTTTAACTTCAATGTAAAATCATTTTACCTTATTTAATGCCATCATTTCCATTTTAATGACATTATTTTTACATAGCCTGTGAGTGCAGTGGTTCACATGATCAATTTTCCATGCATTAGACTCAACAGACTGTTTATTTACATGCGTTTTTAAAAGACTTAATTTATATTGGAAACATGTTTACTGTGTTAAGTTTTATTTCTAGATGATGATGTTGAAGCCATGTAATCATCATTAGTGGACTACATGCAACTGAGATGCATAGCAGGCCAAGGTTTTTGCATGTCAGTGTGCACTTCCTATTTGAGTCTGGCCCATTTTATGTGTAAAATTATGTCGTTTTAAAGGAAATAATACAAGAAATCAAATAACTAATTGGAGGTTGTTCGCTACTATGGATGACGGAAAGGAAAAGTCAGCTGTAAACCATCTTCTTGCCTCACCTGAATGAGTGTAACTTTACCAGGTTGTTAATTTGACCTACACAGAAAACACCTGATTAAAGTGACACATTCACCCCTTCATTTCATCGATGGATCCATTTCCGTGATCACAAAAACTTCACGCATGGCATTTAGCTATATATTTGGCTTTATTGTGTCACCTCCTTGTAATTGTACTTTTTTAACACCTTAGACTTTTATAAACCGTAGTTTAAGTCAATTTTGCACCATCTTTCTTGGCTCTTTACTGGTGGTGCTCTATAGCGACACGCTGGCAAAACGAATGCGTGACCTTGGTTGTTAATATTTTTACTGCGTTCTTGACGCACACCTAAAGCTCCACGCCGATCCACTGATTACCGTATTGTTTGAACATGTGATTAACAGACTTTAGGAAAATGATCCACACATAGCATTACAGCTTGCTTTATACCTCTGCTGCTTTTACCAACGCGTGCACTGAGTGAAGTGAATCCTGGGGGATAATTTCAGAGCATTACTGGGTCACGCGAGGACACGTCACATCTTTTGTCTACCTTTGTTTCAGTGGATATTCGTGCAAAGAGCAGTAAGCAGGGCATGCACAAGTAATGCCAAAACAACATGATGTATCTGTCTACGTATATATAGATAGACACATATGTATATATTTATATTTTACCCTGTGGAGAACAGCAGGTTTCCCATTCTGAGAGACTTAGGTGTGTCCGTCTCCTCCTGGTATTCTGAAAAAAATTACTTCTGAGAGTCGTTTAGATCTGCTAAGGCGTTATAACGTAGCAACGGATAACCCCGGATGTTTGACTGACAGTCAAGAGTCCGCCTCTCTTCCACCGGCTCTTGCCGCCCCTTTAACTCCCGCAGTCCTCCGTGAGCGGTTTCTTGTCCGCGTGCTGCAGTACGTCTGCTCGGTCCCATCAAACGAGCGGAAACAAAGCGCATAAAAGATCGCCTAAGACACAATGTGAAAGCAACAACTATTAGTGATGAATAATATAAGACGAGGTGTTCAATAAAAATTCTTGTTTGACCCTTTAACATCGGAACACGAAGGTATTTATAGCGTCAAGGGCTCAGTGCACCTGGATCCCGTGGCGATAACGCATGCCCTGGTCACACTGACCCGACAGGCTTCATGTGGCTAAATAGGGAAGCACAGAAATCCACAAGGTTATTTGTTCTGACATACCAACCAGTTAACTCCAAAACGTCTGATGGGCCACGAGATGGAGCCAGAGAGCCACATAGATTTCAGAGAAACAACTTTGTGCTGATGCAGTGGGTGGCACTGACACGGCAAAAAGGTTGTATTATAGTATATTAAATATTCCCGGTAGCTTCATGTTGTGCACAGTTAGTTGTATGTGTGTGTCATGGTGTTAGTTTCCTGTTCGGGATTTCCCTGTTTAATTTTGCAATTCTTAGTCCGTTTACACGCTTGCCAGTTTTGCTTCCTGTATTTGTTGTTCTTTCCCCCTTTTCTGATCGTTTGTCCTCAATACCTGTCACCTGAGTTTAGTCTCCCTCACCTGTTCCCTATCAGCTGATTGCTCACTTGGGAATAAATGTACTCCCAGTTTTAATTTGTTTACTGTGGAAAGTCCCCTCCCGTGTGTTAATTTGTGTTTGAGTGTGAACTCTGGACTATGTCAGGGACTTTAGCTTTTGCCTGCTCATCATTTTGATTGTTTGCTACATTATATGATTCCCCATGTATAACCTTTGCCTGCTTTTTGTTTTTGTTTTTTTAATTATAATTATTTCGACGTTAAACTTTAACTCTGTTCTCTGTGTGCCCTGCATTTCCATCCTCTTCCTCCATGTCTCTCAGAATAACCTGCTATATATGTTTATTATGTGTTGTCGTCTTTGCCTTTCTTTACGACAAATTGTTCTTACAGCAAAATCTAATTTTGTAGAGTTATTTTAGACAGTGGGGAATTCCAGAATCTAGAAAGCTATGCCAGCAACATGTTGATGTAATTCATCCTTTAAGAAGCTTCCAGATTAAAATTGTTACATCCTGCACAGTAAGACAGTATTAAATATGTTTTATCTACACAAAATATAACAGATATACCAAGCTCAGGCATAAATACCTGAATTCAAAATTATGTAGAGTTCAAGAATCTGAGTCTATGTTATTAACTTTAAGTTTACATTTGAGATCGTCTCAATGGGGATTCCAGAGAAAGTGAGCCATGGCTGTCCTCTGACAGTGCTTTATATGTAGGTAATTTTAAAATGTCACATGTATGATAAAATATTTCCAATCTGTTAGGCAGCAGAGTGAGTTTTAGGTAATTTCCTACAGTTATTACCCCATTAACACACACACACACACACACACACACACACACACACACACCGCTACAACACCTTAAAATTTTCCAGGATATCTGCTTATGTTTGAAACCCTGGTTTGGGTGTGTTTACTTGTGGATTACTCCAATATTCCGATCATTATTGTCCCTTTGAGCTAACTGGCTATGAATGGCATGTAACAAACAATGTGAGAAAATGTTGCCTTAACATAACTGTAACATTTTTGTTCACTTTTACAGACTGCTCTCTTGTTTTTGGCAAACAAGTAAGCAAACAGTTGTCTGCTTATACAGAAGGCAAACATGGAGCAACATTAGTTTCATTTTGCTAAATATATGCCTGTGATCAGAAGCTAGTCCCTAATTTTCCCAATAGACTCTTTATTCCTGCAGCACGTGGTTTCATTAGAGTTTGTTTGTTGAAACGAAAGCTGCCTGCTGTAACTGGAGTTGAAACCAAAACAGTGAAGCTGTAGGCCCCAAAGGTCAATGAGCTGAAATATATATTTAAATTCCAGTATATAAGAAAGAAATTACCTTCAGGAGTCGTCAGGAACAACAGATTGGACTTATAATTCTCTACTCAATTAACTGCACTGACTTCAAATGACTCGCACTCAATAGTTAATATAAAAATATTGATTAATGCAGTTTTAATTTCTGCTCTGTTTGTGAAAACTTGTGTGCAGCAGAAAAAGGCTGCATTGCTTTTCCTGCCTCAGCACGATCACTTTCAGGCTCAGTCAGGCAGAAAAATGTTTGAGTCCCACAAAAACATAACCCTCACCCCCCAGGCCATGTGTCTGTGGTATTCTCATCACTAGCTGGCCTCCATCTACCCTACACCTCTCATTCCCATCTAATGACATCCTCTTAGGACACCCCCCCTCCCCAAAACTCTCCCTACACATAAAAAGAGGTTTGCAAGGACCACCCCCTATTGCAGCCATACAGATTCCTGGCCTTCCCTTTCTGAATTGTTTCACCATGGGCTCTATTGTCCGAGCAAAGACAGAAAGTTGGGAGGAAGAAAGAGAGTGAAGAGAGGGGAAAATGTGCCCTCTCTATTCTTTGGGTTGGAGGCGTCCACCCACATCAGGGTGTGGAAATTCCGTTTCAGCTTCCTGCTTTCTCTCCAAGCCCTTTCCTTTTAGTCCCCTCACTCAGTCATCGCTGTCATGGGTTGTTTTTGGCTTTGTGGAATGTCCAGATTTTAATGCAAAGCGTTATCTGAGGATAACCCAGGAGCACTTTTACTCGTAGTAGGTATGAACATGTGGCAACATCATTCAAAGCTAAACAATCACAACAGAAAAACAACGCAGAGTTAAGCAAACTGAATACTTATAGGGAAACCTGTATTTTTCACACACGCACACACACACACGCGCTGCAGGTAATGAGTCAATGAGTAATAAGGGTGAAACAAACATTAAAGTTATGGTCAACAGAACCAATGAGCTGAAAGATGCTAAAATTTTCTATAGGCCTGAGGGGACTGGTGTAATGATCATATTTGTTGCTACTTTTGTGGTGCAAGTTGTGTTACTTAATCCATGATTAATTATGCCAAGAAAGCCGTGTTAAACAATATGAACCTTTATTTCCCATTCCTTAATTTCCATCAGTCTCACTCTCCCACTCAGGCCTTTCCAGCTTTCAAGATTCTTGAAGACTGTGATTTGCATTCACGCCATGCCCAAAGGATGTTATGGTTACTGTTACGATGTAAGACACCTGTCCTTATTAACCAATTACATACCAAGAACCAAGGACATTTGATGGGATCAGTCTTCCTCACTGGTATGGAAACCATGTGAAATCTCCAACCATACAGTCACTGATTACAGATACCCAGCAAACACTGAGTACAGCAAAAAAAAAAAATTATCCATTTAAAGGTTTTTGCTTGTGTGTGTGTGTGTGTGTTTTCTTTTTTAAATCTGTAGACTATATTGTTAATTTATCTGCTGAAAAACTATAAAGTCAAAACATTAACAGGAAATCTTCCAAATACTTGATACTACCTAATACCTAGTCTGAGGCAGTTGCTAATGATAGTGAGTTACATGAAGCTAAACTTGACCCCTATCAGCAGCCGTTACCTTTGAAAAGTAATCTCTCACTTTCCCCTCCTGTCCTGTCTTTCAGCCATTGTACGTTTGCCTAGCAGGCATACTGTGAGACAAGCTGCACCGAAACAGTTTGTGTTTGCTTATACTTTATATTACTTCACCACTTTAAAAACATACTCTGTTTATCTTCAGACAGGTTGTTAAGTGTTTGCTAACATTTGCTTTGTTGCAGTGCCTTCAAGTGTCCATAAAATCAGTTGTCATTAAATGTAAATTGAATTCTGGAATGGGTGCAACTGCATATGAATTCCAAAAGATTAAAAGTTGTGAACAGATGGCGCATGGAGCTATATGGCTCCAGGAGGAAAAGTAGTCTGGTTGATAATGACACTAAAATGGGAGAATTAAAAGTTCTGGAAACAGCCTGAATACAGACTGTATATAAAGAACTATGATAACAGCGACTACTGTTTTCAAGTATACAGTAAGCATCTTTGGTTGCTTCCATCTTGCACTTTTGAAACCAGATGGTGCATGAAAGAGTAGACCTGATTAGCTAATGCTAACACAAGCTAGATAGCTTAGCTAGCTGTCGCGTTAGTAGGGATTCAAGTTTTGGCTGGTAAAAATGAAACATACCCTGCTTAATGGGAAAACTGTAACCATGCAGAGAGCAAGCAAGGCTGAATCTGACTGACAAATCAGTAACACATAGCCTGCATTATTATCTATTTTACTTGTTACAAACTAAACATTTATCAACCCTTTAAGACCTACCATAGAACCAAGTCCGCCAGAGCTTATATTATATTTTTACATGTTGTTGTGCCATTTTTGGGAGCATTTCAAGTTGATATACATCAATACAACCATTATAGTCCAAATTCTAATAATATGTATGCATTAAGTGCATAATAATTACATAAATTGCAAAAAAAGTGCAATAAACTACAAAACAATTGAAAATAGTTTTTGTTTTTTTAAACATATATTTCTAGTTAGAGGAATTTAAGAGGCTTAACCCTCAAAACTGTAAATACAAAAAAGTTGCACAAAATAGTTTCCCACCACAGGAAATTTATTTTAAGTGTCTTCATAGTTTTATTTTTGAAATACACCAATTTTTATATACTGCAGGAAAAACGAAAAATAAATATTATAATGCAAATTTGCAAAGAAAACAGCATATGCATCAAAATAAACTATTTCCAGCAGTGCAATATGAGTCCTAAGCATCCCAGAAACGACACAGAAAGTCATAAAGTCAAACATAACTTAAAAACTCAAAAGGCCATCAGGACTCGAAAGGCCCTGATGGTAAAAAACTACATTTCCGCAAATTGACGTCACTTCCGGTTTCGGGCAGGTCATGGCGGACATGCGATAGTTTGTGCTGATGGACGTAGGAAGTGTTACAAACAGCTGCTCAGATCGGTAAAGCGTGTTTCTGGAATATTATTTTTTTGTTGCTTCAAGTGCATTTTATGCAGTTTTTGCAAAGCTATATGTGGAAGGAAACCGTGACCTAGGACAAACTGATGGCATAAGATGTAAGTACAACTCCTCCGGTTTCATATGCAAAACAAATTATTGCGCTAGCTTATGTGGTTGCAGTGCTACCGGGATTTAAAAATAGTAACGCAAAATGGAGCGTGCCCGCTGCCACCGGCTTTAATAAAAAGAAAGAAAATAATGATTTTAGCAATATATGCAATGAGCACTTGGGGTATTTTCAAACTTCTATCCAGTCAACCTGATTACACTGGTTTCACCTCCAATCCTTCGACTACATTAGTCTTTTGCAGATATCTATGTGATTGAGGTATCACACTGGCACAAATTGATTGCTAACTA